TCTCTCCGTGGAAGGCCATGTGCAGAGAGGGAGAGGACCAAAGCAAGACAGAGATGAGAGTCAGATGGCAGCTCCCAGATTAAGACAAAGAGAGAGACAGTCCATTCAAGGAGATAACATTTATGCACAGTTAGAGTAATGTAGTGTGCCCCGCCATGTCCAGGCATGCTGAGTCACTCACTCTAGCACATACACATGCATGGAGTCCTTACTAGTGCCCCAGACTGCTAGTGGACAAGGGAAAGGGCAGGGCTTGAGTGGTGGCACTATCCCGTATAGCCAATGGGAGCAAGAAACAGTGGGTTCCTCCCCCTACGGTGACAAACATTAGCAGGGGTTTTTTTGGTCATTATGAAAAACATTATATTCTTTGTCCAGTATATTCTTAAATATCCATTGTTTATTGAATCCTCTGTGCAATAAAGAATAGCAAAATATATTCAGTGTCACTCACTGAGAGAATGAAAAAACAATTGCCTAAAAAAATCAACATATAAATGAATTGGCAAGGTGGCAGGCTTTGCGGCAGTGGAGGCTTTTGTAAAGGATGAAACTCAACACAGCATGAAAATGACAAGATTTCCCCTCCTCTAAGGAAGTTCCCAAAATTAGAAACGTCATTCTGTTTGTTGGCAGATTAAGATGATCAGAATCTGCTTGTTGCGAGACTCTACAGCTCATTTCCTCAAAGTGCTGTAGTAATTACAGTGCTAAAGGCCACAAGAGTTTCCCTAGAATTATCCCAAGGTTTTTATAATTTTATGCGTGGGATTATGACATCACAAAAAAATCTAAGGAATGCAAATGGAAAGTGACTTTTAAAGATCAGATTTACTTAAATGGTGCATGTTTGTGTTCTTTAAATCTAGGGGGGAAATTAGCCAGGTTAGATTTAAGGTAGGGCCTATCTCAAAATCAGGAGGTGGTTTGTATTTGGCTTTGGTGCTGCTGCATACTGCTTTCCATTGTGACTTTAAGAGCATTTGCTGAATAGTCATTGCCAATTCTTATCCTGTCAGTATATACATGCACTTGGAATTTTTGCCCCAACATGCATCTTCTAACATTTAGTAAAATTGAACTTTTCGTTGTGCAGTTGTTCAGTTTGAAGCGCTCCTTTTTGAGCTTTTCATTGTCCCTTGGCATCATGAACAATTTGGTGATTGCCAACTTGGCTACCTTGCTGCTGTTTCAAACGCCACATCATTTATGAATATGTTAATACAAAGGTCCAGATGTGGTGGCTCAGAGGTTAAGACGTTGACTTGCAGAACGGAAGGTTGGTAGCTTGGCAGTTTGAGACCCTAGTGCTGCATGACTGAGTGAGCTCCTGTCTCTGGCCCCAGCTCCTGCCAGCCTAGCCATTCGAGAGCAAGAAATGGCAAGTAGATAAATAGGTACCGCTTCGGTGGGAAGGTAACAGCATTCCATGCACCTCGCCGTTTAGTCATGCTGGCCACATGACCATGGAGAAGTCTTTGGACAGCGCTGGCTCTTCGGCTTGGAAATGGAGATGAGCACCCTAGAGTCGGATTCGACTGGCTTCTGAGCAAGGGAAACCTTTACCAAATATGGTGCCTGTGGCGCACACTGACACCTTTCCAGGTGCCCACCAAGTGTTTTTAGAAAGTGGGTGGGGCCAGATGGAGCTTTTGCCCAGCAAGGCTTCTGACCGGCCACTGGAGATTTGACTGGCAGTGTAGATTTGACTGGCAGCGGGTGCCATCACAGCACAAAGCTCTTCCCTGTGTAACTGAAGAGACACTGCAGCCGCTATTTTGCAGCTGGCTCCACCTCCTTGCAGCAGCCATTTTGTAACAGCCATGTTGTGTTAAAATTCCAGATGTGCTTGCATACTCAAAAAAGTTGGGGAACACTGTGTTAATACGTTACGGCACTAGTTCCTAAGTGGGAAACTTCACTATTTCATTCTGGCCAGTATGAAAACTGATTTATTCCTACCAGGACTTTTTTTTAAAAAAAAAGAGGTGCTAGAACTCTAAAGAAGGAAATGAAGTTTTCAGTCTGTATACCAAAAGCTCATGAACTTCTAAACATTTCTAAAAGAATTTTGTCGAAGACATTCCGGAAGGGGGCTGGGGCACCCAACCAGGCCTTCAGGGCAAAGTGATCTGACCATGGCACTTCATCTATAGCCAGGGGTCATTTCGTAGAAAAAGAGGTGCAGGAGCTCATTAGCATAATTTATTTGCATATGCCACACCCCCTGACATCACCGGAAGTGAGTCAGAATGCAACACCCACCACTCAGGCACCACTGGACTGTTTTGGATTGCTAGCTATTGGGGGGGGGGACATGCAGATCTGTCCTCGCAGAGGAGGGAGAGCTTGTACCTGAATAAAACTTGGTCTTAAAGGTGCCACTGGACTGTTTTGGGTCGGGGGGGGGGGCCCTGCAACTTACCTGGCTGCTTCTTGCTCTGAGTGAGGGCTGCTGGGAGCAGGAGGTGGGGCTTGTTGCATGTGCCCGCCCCCTGGGCTCTTTACTGCCAGAGCTCCGCTCCTGTGCGCTCCTGCAGGAAATGACCCCTGTCTGTAGCAATCAGATCCATATCTATCCCTGCACCAAAGATCAAATCCAGTGTGTGGCCTGCTTAATGTGTGGGACCTAATACAATCTAGGTCCAACGCCTGCAAGGAGGTAGCTGTGTCGGCATGGACAGTGAAGTCTCCCAAAACTATCAATCTTGGGAACACCAAGGCCCAACTCACTACTGCCAGCGGCAGGCTCAGTAGACTGTCTGCTGAGGCGCTAGGCAGCTGGTACACCAGACAGACAGCCAAACTCTCCTCAGTGTCCCAAACTAGGCCAGCACAATCAGTACTGACAATCTTTGGAATGGGAAGTACCCTGAAGGAGAAACCCTCTCAGTGAGTATCGCCACCCTCCCTCGCTTAGTTCAGGACTGATGGAGGACCGGAAAACCTGGTAGGGTCAGCTGTTTCCACGCAATCATTTCACTCTCCCTTACCCAGGTCTTGGTCACACATGGCAAGTCCACATCTTGTGCTGTGATATAATTTTGCAGCATCATGGTCTTATTATTGATGGACCTGGCATTGTACAATGTCAAAGAGGGGTTTATTTTCCTAGCCCTCTCACTGATGAGGCTCAGGATGGGACAAAGGTTGAAAGGAGACTGAGCAGCTTTCTGTTAGGCTGACATTTCAAAGATTTTTTTAAAAGTAGCATTACCTCTAGCTAACTTCCAAAGTCTTCTAGTCTTCTAGTGCCACATGCAGAGTTCTTTGTAAAAGATTACACATTTCACATTGGAGATTTTTAAGAACTGTCAGTTATATGCTGTCTGGGCCTGATGATGTGTTTCTTGTAATTTGTCCTAGAGCTTCAGCTTTTATTACCTCTATTTGACTTAATTCTTCAAATGTCTTCCCTGAAAAAAATAGAACCGGGGGAGGGGTGCCCAATACCATCCAAAACAAGAATTGGTACAAAGAACTCAGTCACCTTTCCCACAAACTTTTCACATCTTTGTCATTTAATGGTGCAACTATCTTGCTGGATGGTTTCCTGTTTCTAATATATTTAAAGAAATTTCTGTTGTGTTGTTTTTTAGAAATACAGTCATAATTCTTTTTTTCATTGCCTTACTGTCACCTTTTGTTTTGTACGGGTTTGTCCTCTTTTTTATTCTTCTTGTTTTAGAAAAGGGGTTGGTTTTTCCTTATCTTTCACAGCTTTGTTTACTCTGTTAATTAGCCGCACTGTCATAATCTATTATTTATTTGTACCTTTCCTAATTCACAATATACATTTTATGTGAGCTTCTATTACAGTGATTTTAAGTAATATCCAAACATCTTGGCACTCCTTTCAGTTTCCTTTTTATTACTCCATCTTATTTCACCTGTTCAAATGAAATGTGATTGTGTCAGCAACTTTTACATTGAAATTCATGGTAACTGTGATAACTTATTATTGAGCCTATATCTCACAGAAGGCCCTGGGCACTAGTCAGGATTAAGTGAAAAGTCACCTCCTGTCTAGTTCATTCCTTGAATAATTGTTCCAAGGCATATTCATTTATTTAATCTAAAAGTTATGCCTCTTTGTCCTGCCATAAATGTACACCTAACCAATAAATGTGAGGATAGTTAAAATCGTTTATTATTACAAGTGGGTATTTTCCATTTGTCTGTTACTGTTCTATCTACCCCCCCCCCAATCCATGTCAAGATTACCTTTAAAGTTTTGATTAAGAGGGCAATAGTATGTCCCCGGTACTAAACCATTTTTGGTCAGGTAGTTTGAATCTCTCCCTGACCTGGATGGCCCAGGCTAGCCTGATTCCATCAGATCTCTGAAGCTAAACAGGGTTGGCCCTGGTTAGTAACTGGATGGGAGACCACCAAGGAAGTCCAGGGAGGTAGGCAATGGCAAATCAGCTCTGTTAGTTTCTTGTCTTGAAAACCCGACATGGTGGCCATAAGTCAGCTGCATCTTGGCAGTACTTACCACCACCACCATCACTATAAGAAGTTTATTTCTTCTAAGTCTTCTCATTTATCGGACTCTTTAATATCTCAAGCAGCCTACCCCTCAATATATCCTTCCTTGACCTTCCTATAGATTTCATATGGAGGTATAACAGTTTTATCTATTGAAAGTGCAAAACATGGCAGTTCTGCTTAATGCTTATTTATTCCCTTTATTCCTAGTCAATACCACCAGAAATCCCCCATTTTAACTTTTCACTGTTTCCTGCTGGTTCACACAACCATTATGGGAATGGAAAAGTCACTGGTTTCAGTACATAGAAACTTGTGGTCTCATCCTGATAAGACCACTTTACCATACAAAAAACTTAAGGTGGTGGTGGGGAATCACCTCAGGGTAGAATTGGGTTTATGTCATATATTCTGAAATAGTGAAGAATTGTCCTTAACTCGTTTTACCATGTTTTATCTAGGTGACGAACAGATTTCAAATGGTAATAATTATATCACGGATGATATAGTTCTGGAACTGTCAGAAGCAGAGGAGACTACCTCTGTTAGCAGCTGCTTTGCCTCAGAGGACACCACAGAAGATTCAGGAGTTATAAGCTCTCCCTCTGATATTGTGTCGTTGGATTCGCAAAATGATAGTGTGAGGTCGAGAGACAAGTCTGTCAATGCCCAGGAGAACTTGTCTGGAATAGAGTCCACAGTCGTTGCAGAGTCTTGCTCTTTAAAGAATGCTTCCTTCAATTCTGATGAGTCTGGGAATTTTCACCAAAGGTAAGTGTCATATATGAGGCAATCTAGAAGAGTGCTCTTTGCTTAGCCTAATATGCCGGACCCGTTCCACTTCCCTCCCCCATAAGCTAGATTTTCTCTCCATTTTTCTGTCCCCTCACTAACTGGACAGCCCTGGTAACATGTTTTCTTCTCCCCCGAAGAAACCTTTGCTGTCTCTCCCTGTCGGAAAGATATGTTTTGGCTATTTGCTCAGCCCAGGAATCTGAGGGAAGGGAAGGGATGGGATCACCCTTTAACATTTATCCTTGGAAATGGCATTTGAGATGCTTTTAAAATTCAAAAATAACAAAAGGTTTTTATTTAACATCAAGGGGAAAGGACAGGTGAAATTAAGGTTTGAAATTATTGAGGTAAAACTAGTACAAGCACAGATTTTTGATCTTATATATCAGGCTAATGAGAGATTCTTAATTTATTCACAGTTACTTAGATCTTTATATTGAGAGGCTTTTGTTCCAGTATCTTCCCAAACACTCTAGTTCTCTTTATTTAAGTAATCGCTGACTCTTTTGGTGCCCAGAAAGCTGGTAACCTCTTCCCAGTACCCAAACCCCTTCTCTTGGAATACTGGTACTCTTCTTGAGTTTTTTACTGACTTTTTAAGGTCTCTACAGGTAGTTTCTAATTTCTAATCACACCAGACCAGGGAATTCTGTATTCCTTAGAGATAACTCTCCCTTTTTGACTGGGCAGGGAATCTTCTTCTCTCTCTAGAAGATCTATCCCCTTCCTTTGGCTTGAGTGGGAGTCTTTCCTACTACCCAAACTTCCTTGCCAACCTCTCCCCCAGTTCTCTGTCTCTGTTCAATCTCCTGTCAGCTAATGCTGAATTTAGACTGCGTTCAGTCAAGGTAGAAATCTGACTCTGTCAGACTAAACCCTTTTTCTGTCAGGCCTATTCACAGACGGTCTCAGTAAATGTTTCTTCTCGGTTAAGGCAGGAATCTGACTGACCCTCCTCAGCATCCAGCTCTCTCGAGACTTTTTGCTCAACAGATGCTAACCAATAAGATTGCTTAGAGCAGCCTGTCACTCAACGCTCTCTGTGGCTCTGTGAAGAATTAACCCTTCACAATCCTTTAGTTGTTTGTGCACACTTAAGCTTCTTAAAAGTGCAGTCCGTCACACCTAACCTTTCCTCCCTTCTCCACTTTTGTCACTCTATCAGAAGCCAGCACCAAATTAACATGCAAGGGCTCATTCTAATGAAAAAGTATGATGCCAAAACAGTCTAATATATTCATGGCACCCAGCATGGGTTATTTTTTTGTAATTTCCAACATCACAGGATTCTTTTTTCCAGGATGAATTCCTCTTTTCCTTCCCCTTCTTGCCCCGCACCAGGCTCTTCTTGAGTATTCCCATATTTTTAAGCTAATGTTGAAACAATTAGTTACACTGGCACAGTGATGTAGATTTCCATATTTATTTTTCTGCCATGACTCAACACTAATTTTATATTGAGCCAATCTAATAATTAAAGTTTAGGTGAGGACACTGTCAGGTCAAAGGTAGATTTTGTAAAACAGTTGGGTGGAACTTATTTTATATGCTTGTGGAAGAAAGGACTTAATGGTGCAATTCTGTGCCTAATTATTCACAGATAAGTCACACTGATGTCAGTGGTTCTTACTATAGGAATATTTGTTTAATATAGCAGAGTTTTGCCCAGTCATAGAAGCCTGATACTGAGTGCAGTAAATAAATCTCCCAAGAAGTATATTGCAAAAAAGGTACACCGACATTTATTCGAGTCGATCCAGTTTACATTCGGGTTGCAGTCAAAAGAAGAGAAAGAAGCCTAATCTAAAGAATATTTTCCCTATCACAAGTGGCCAGCTTGTTCGCCATCATGTGTGTGGGAGTATGAGGCCAGGAGAGACCTGCAGAGACGTGTGTCTCCATGGAATGTCATGTGGGTGAGTGAGGTGAGAGGACAGAGAGAGGGGGGGGGTCAGAGGGCAGCTCCCAGGTTAAGACAAAGAGAAGGCATCCTATTCTAGGAGATAACACTGTACATCCTTAGAGTGATGCAGCACCCCCCAATGTCCAGGCATGCTGAGTCATTCACTTCAACACCTACTTCCAGGAAGTGTGTATAGAATGGCAGTCTTAATTCACTAAATAGTTCTAGCGTTTTTCTTTCTGACACTGCAGTACCAAGGAGGAATAAAAAGCAGACTACAAAAATAAATAGGAAACAGTTCATGGACATAAATAGTAACTGTCATTTATTTCATTGATGATATAGGAAAAGTCAATATGTCCGTATGGCAACATTGGGAACCCTACCAGATACCCTCCGAAGGCTTTTTTCCGCAGATGTTCTTGCTTCTCCTTCCGTCTTTTTTCCGGGTGGTCACATGCCTCTTCGCGCAGTTCTTTCTTAGAGGGGGGACTTCAGTTAGCTGGTTTCCACAGCAGCCCCTGCTGGCTCGTCGGGCTTGCTGCACGCAGGCGATGGGGATTATGTCCTTCCGGCTCCAATCTCTCCAATGACGCCGCACTGCTGCTGACCTCCGACCAGTCGTTGTTCCGGGGGGGCGTCCCTTCGCCGCTGCTTCTGCTGCTGCTTTGCCGCCATTGTTGTTACCGGTGCCGCTATTTTCTCTCTGGAGCCACAGTTCTTCCACTTCTTCTAGGGGAGGGTACCCCCCTGACTGACTAAGGCCAGGTACCCATTTATCTACTCGCCATATAGGGCTTTCGAACAGTTGGGTTGGCTGAAGCTTGGGACTAAGGTCGGGAGCTCACCCCGACTGCGGTGGGATTCGAACAGCCAGACAGCAGTTCGAGATAGTTACACTTTGCAGGTGTTAATCACCTGCACCACCGCTCCCGCATTTTGATCTAATTAATATATAGGACAAAGACCATACTTCATTAGCGGTGTGCATTCGACATAAACTGACCCAAAGAAATACCTGAAAAATATCTTACTGTGCTGCAGGAGAAGCCCTCCCAGTCGTGTCTGCATGCAGCAGGGAGAGCGGGACCTCCCCACCTCATGTAGATCCTTGGTCCAGCTTCTCCTGCAGCGCGGTTTAAACTGCGCTGCAGGTGAAACCAAGCCAGCCCCAAGGTTTAGCCGGCTTTTTTTTAAATCAGCATTTTTCTTCTTGGGTCTATTCGGAATTTCCCAAAAATCCTGGAACCAAATACCATACCAGTATTTGGGATTTTTTGGAAATATCGAAAAAAAAATTGGGTCCAATAGACCTGAACCAAAAAATGGCGATATATTTATTTTACACACTCCTACACTTCATGTTACATGCACCAAATAGCTGATCTGACCATAGGATCTGTACAGTGGCCTCTTTATCTTTCTCTGTATGTTTTGAATAGTTGCCATTGCCCAAGTGAAATTTCCAGGCAAATTCTGGAGGTTCCTACCAATGCTCCCTTTAAGCCATGGAGTCTTGTGAGCAAAAATTCTACTTTGTGAGCTCCTGCCATTAAAGTTGTGAGTGAGCGCTTTGGCTGCTGCATAAATTAGTCTGCACTGGAGCCCTCCTTCCTGAGCTAAGACGAACATCTGTGAACCAGAGGCTGAAAAACTATGAGCTAACTCGCACTAACTCAGCTTAGAGGGAACACTGGTTCCTACTTGAGAGAAATATACAAGGGCTTCTTAGGGAAGCCAAAAATAGTAGTTGTGCACACTTGCAGCTCGGACTTTCCAAAACCAGCTCTGAGTGTCATCTGCCTTGCATCAGGAAGACTACAGAGTCAGTTTGGTGTAGTGGTTAAGTGCACGGACTCTAATCTGGGAGAACCGGGTTTGATTCTCCACTCCTCCACATGCAGCTGCTGGTGTGACCTTGGGTCACTCACAAGTTCTTTCAGAGCAGTTCTCTCAAGGGCAGTTCTCGAAAGAGCTCTCTCAGCCCCATTTACCTCACAGGGTGTCTGTTGTGAGGAGGGGAAGGGAAGGCAATTGTAAGCCGCTCTGAGACTCCTTTGAGTACTGAAGGGCGGGGTAGAAATCCAGTCTCTTCTTATTCTACAAGCCTTGTTGTTTGTGGGGGGAAATTCTCCGCACATTTGGCAAAGTTAGAATAAAGTTGTGACAGAATTTTCCATAGTGTTTTATAAATGAAGGTGGGAATGTGGAGAGGGGTTTCTGAGGGGTTACATGCTATACAAATTCCTCATTTATAGAAGTATTAGGCCAGTGGAACAGTTTGAACATATGGGTGATACGCTCTTGAGAAATAACACCCAGCTTCATGGCATTGCAGTCTATTTCATAGAGTTTGCTACTACTACACTGAAACTAATTTAGAGGGGTTATTCTACGAAGATCAATCTTTAAGGGTTTTATTAAAGACTTTGCCTACCTCACAGGGTGTCTGTTGTGGGGAGGGGAAGGGAAAGGAGTTTGTAAGCCGCTCTGAGACCCCTTTGGGGATTGAAGGGCGGGGCATAAAT